AGGAGTGTGGGCGAAGGTCTAGCAGGAAACACAAGGTTGGTTGCCTCTAGTTTATAAAACTATTTCTTCTGCCTATCGTCCGTATCTTTTTCTTATGACCATAGAACTTGGGGAGCTGACCTACTCCTGTACAACTGATACAGACACCTGTTACTATGATAAAAAATACCAAGGCAGCTACATTTGAAAGAAGCGGGGTTTGTTTAGCCCATGGTTTTAGAAGTTTAAAGTGTTCTCATAAGGGTCTCCCTTGTCAATAACACACCCTGTCAGGAATGTATGTATATCTATCTCTTTTGATGGTTCGTTTCCCCTTGTAAAATGACCAGGCTTCCATCTTAGAATCTCCACTCTAATGATTTTTAGCTAATCTCATGCCTTCTCAAAGGTCCCACCACTAAACACAATAGTCGGGTTAAGTTTCTACCCTCATCACATTAACATATGACTTTAAGGATTAGATTTATGCATGAGTTGGAGAAGAAGTCTCTTCAAACCATCGCACAAACTTGTTTCCAAAGCCCTTGTTAAATCTCCTGGGCCATAAGCACTCAGGAAGCTTCCCTTTTTCAGAGGACTCAGGGCTGCAGGAAACCATGTGGCTGCCTGAAGGAATCTTCAAAGACTGTCGAAAATGAAGCCACATCTGGGGAGCAAACTTAAGAAATACATAAAGAGGAACTGGTTCCTGTGATAGGTTGAGGTCTGATTCCATGAGTACCTGGAGTTACCTCTGTATGAACGGTGTTCCACATCCTTATATTGCCCGAGTCTCTCAAAGCTGAATATTCTGTCACCTGCATCCTAAAGCGCACCATACTCCCACTGTCACAAGCAGATTGTCTTCCGGGATACCCTGATATGTAATCTCTTCATCCATGGTGCTCTTCATTGGGTTGTCTAATAGATGACAGTTTTACAACCTCTACCAGTATACAGTCTGGTTCCTTACGTTGGCTTTGAGGTCGGCAGGGAACAGGATTGGAATAGTATGCTGTTCTTGCTTTTTCCTGAAATCTCTGGTTGTCTGCTCCTTACCTACTTCCTTGGAGCTAGGAAATGACTCCTAGAGGAAGCCTTCTAGTAGAGGTGCTCCAGCTTTGTAGCAGCAGGTGACACCCATGTACTCCCATCTCCCCATTTTCAGAAAAATGTAGTGGGAGCCTTTTGTATGTAAATAAAACTTAAACAGAATACTAACCTTTCAGCCATAGTGAGAACAACTTCAACAGAAATGTATTCAAATTTATAGTAAGTATTACACAGTTCTGTTTTACCTTTTAAAAACGTTAGGAGTAAGTAGCTACAAGTAAGCTGGAATCAATTCAATATTAATGAAAAGCCCAGTGTGCTTACTTCTGAGACATTCTGTTGTGATTTTAATTGGATGGCGTATCTGGATGTATTTAGAAGGTCACACCTAATTGTGACCTATGTGACACCATTAAAGAAATAGAAACAACTGGCAGAGGCACTAATTCTGGAGCTGATAAACATGATACAGTTTGTTCATTTGTCTGAAAATTCAAGTCACTTTTTCTCTATTCTCATAAAATTGTTTAGAATCCTTCACCCTCTGGCAAGAGACTCCGAGGGAAGGAAGCGGGTAGTATTAGAAGTAAGATATTCTGCAAGATGGGAAGAAGTTTTACTTTGGGCAGCCTGTGGGACTATTCCTTTAAATAGGCCTAGTTATGATCGGAACTTATCTGACTTTGGGTTAATCACTTGCAGTTCCTGGCACCCAAGCAAGCCCCAGTTATAAATTAGTGGTGGGTGCCCAGAGATTCTGGAGAGTACATGGAAAGGAGCAGCATGCCCTGAGGAGCTGTGTGAAGAGACCCACTGGAGCATGCAGTAGCTCCATGTAATTTTGATTCAATATTCCTGGGTTTGCATAGTGATTCTGTGCTGCTTCTCTGTGCTCAGTGATCTTGAACTGCTCACCCCGGGTCATCACCTGGGCTGTGGGCAGTGGAAAGGCCATGAGCATAGCACTTTTTTTAAGATAGAAATTTAAAATAAACCCTTTTTTAAAGAATAGAGTTCCCTCCCCCCGGTCCCTTACTTAAATACTACTTACTGTATTTCAGCAGGGCTTACTTGAATACAGTGTGATCACCAAGGATTTTAATGCCCTTGCTTTCTTATTGGACTTGGAGATAAGCATTTTCACACAGTAATTGGACCTTAGGACTCAGAGAGGTCTTTCCCATCATCTCCTTGGTGTTAGCATGACCTCTGTGTTGACAGACAGCTATTAAACTCACATCTTATTATCTGGTGATGTTAATGTGAAAAATACTGTGTTATGTAGAACGGATTTCACTGTATTCTAACAGATGCCACTGGTATAATAGCCTAATGTAACAAATGCACCAAATATGTTCAAGCATGTTTTTGACACTATTTTCATAAGTGGTGATATATCCTAATTGAAACTTACTAAAATTATGTTTTCTCCAACTGTCATGAAAACATACCAAACCATGTGGGGTTTTTTTGTGTGCTTGTGATTTAGCAATATAAGATATATATTCTTTTTGGCTTCTCACTCTGATTTAGAATTAGATTTGAAAATTCAAGATTTTATCCTTGTGAAGATTAGTCCAAGGAGCCAATTCAGTTTCCAAATATGTGTTAATTCTCCCTCTTGACTTATACTGCAATAGTAGATTTTAACTTGAAGGTTTATTAAAACATTTTAAAATTATATTATTAGAGTAAAGTGGCCTGTCTGCCTGCTTTCCTTCTTTCATTTCTTCTTCCTTTCTGCATATCCTCCCTCCCTCTCCCTCTTTCCCTCCTTTCTTCTTTTTCCTTCCTTCCTTCCTTCCTCCCTTCCTTCCTTGATGAAGGAAGAATCTTTCAGAATCTTCAAAGAAAGTCTTAAATATTTCCTTAATCACTGTATGTCTGTATTTAGTATACTCTTGCATCCATCCTATAATCTTTTTCTTATACCTTTTTCCTTGTCAAACCCAACACACTTAGAAAAGAGTTAATACCAGAGGCAGTACTACCTATTTAGGACAACGGAACTACTATCTAGGTCAAGACATTTAAAAATGGCTATATACCCCCCCCCAAAAAAAATCTCTACCATGCATTCCCTGGTCACTGTTCATTTTTTCCCCTTCCCAGAGTTAACCACAATTTTTTCTTGCATAGAATTACTTGGTTGCTTTCTTTATAGTGTTACTACCTATTCGTGTGCCTGGAGCACTATGATTTAGTTTGCTCATGGTCTTTGTTGTTGTTTTGGCTTGAGCAATCTTTTTAATGTGAATGAACAGAATTACACTGGAATCCTTTTGGATTCAATATTTTTCACTCAGTTACCTTTGCAGCCATCGTAACAGCTTTCTTGCCTATATAGTAAGTATTTCATTGTAGGAACTACCTGCAACTTGTTCATGCATTCTGCTGTCCAGACAGCTTCCAGCACTAATAATGCTGTGGACAATCTTTCTTGTCGATTGACCAACTCCTCACACATTTCTAATGGTATATTTGTGGGAGTGAAATTGCCAGCGCACAGTGTTTGTGAATCATTACTGTTAGTTAAAGCAGTACCACTTCACACTCCCACCAGAAGAAAAGATAGTTCCATCTCCCGTGTCCTCATCACACTTGATATTCTTCTCGCCCATCTGTTGCTTGTGTTACCTCCTGGTTTTAATTTCCATTTCTTTGATTGGTAATGAAGTCAAGAAATGCAGAGAAGTCTGTTGATATTTTTACTGGAATTGTATTTAAGCTATACATCAATATGGAAGGAATGTTCAAAAGAATGGAGCCTTCTAATACATTAGCATAATTTTTCTATGTAGTGGTTTTCAATTTTTCAGGAAGATTCATTGTTTTCTGTATAAAAGCTTTGCATGTCATGTTAATCAATGCATTCATTCCTAGTTATCATATATTTATGCTAGAATAAGTGATTTTTTTTCCTGGTCCTGGGGCTTGAACTTTGGGCTTGAGCATGATCCCTGAGTTTTATTTTGCTCAAGGCTATTGCTCTACTCCTTGAGCCACAGCTCCATTTCCACTTTTTGGTGATTAATTGGAAACAAGAGTCCTGTGGACTTTACTGCCTGGCTTCTAATCACGATCTTCAGATCTCAACCTCCTAAGAAGCTATATTTTGAGGCATGAGCCATTAGTACCTGGTTATTATGAATAATTCTTATCTTCCCTGCTTGTACTGTATTTACTCATTTGTTCATTTGGTCAGTTACTGAGAAATGTGTTAATATCCCCATTGGTTATGAGTTCCTTTATTTCTCTTTCTAGTTATGTAATTTTTATTTTATAGATTCTGATCCTATGTTATGAAGTGTGTGCAAATTCGTAATTATTTTATCTTCCTGGTGAATGAAATGATTTATCATCATTAGTGTGTTTCTAGTGTATTTTACCTCAGTAATGCTTATTTCTTTTTTGTTTGTTTGTTTTGTTTTGTTTTTTTTAAAGGTAGTAATGCTTATTTCTTTAAAACTTAACCCTGATTACTAATTATTGGTTCCAATGCATCAAATTGAGTTGTTTTTTGTTTTGTTTTGGGTTTTTTTGGTTGCTATATGCATGGCAAATTTTACTATTTTTAGCTTTTCTGCATCTCCGTGTTTTAGATGTTGGCTTATGAACAGGAGACAGCTTTATTTACTGAAAGCATGCCATTCTTTGTCTTTTAAAGGCATGATCAAGACATTTGATGTGAGTGAATCCAAATCAGTGTCAATGTTTTAGGTCAATAACCTTTTTAGCCAACTCTCTCATCTTCGGTTACTTCTTTGACTCCTGTATAGTGAAAAGACATCCAGGGACTTGAAATACTTTTAAATTGGTGTTTGGGAAACTTGGCGTGCAAAATCTTGTCTTCATTGTGATTCACCTACTGAGTTCCAGTAAACACTCATTAACATTAGGTCTCTTAATACATTTTGTTTTTGTTTTTGTTTGCAAAATACTATAAGAATTTCATTGTTGATTTACAGGGCTGTGACTCCCAAATGAGCGTGTCAGAAATGTCGTGTAGTGAAAGTACCTCCTCATGTCATTCTCTGGAACACGGCTCAGTTCCAGAAATTCTCATTGGCCTGCTTTATAATGCCACAACTGGACGATTAGCAGCAGAAGTGATAAAAGGCAGCCACTTCAAAAACTTGGCAGCAAACAGACCACCCAGTGAGTGAAAAAATTTATTCTAATGTTTTCTGCACTTACGGGACTCTCGGCATTAGGGCTTCAATGCTATCATTTTAGTCTTAACCAATCAAAATGAAATGGTGAATCATCAGCTAATCTGTTTCATGTTTTCTATTTCCAGTCATTTGGGAAGTAGAAAAATTTGAAATTCAAAATATTAATTGTATGGTGACAGGAATCTTAATTTTTCATAGTATCTACAGAATAAATTACCCCTATCATAGAGATTATCTTATAATGCGGGAAAAGTTACAGGGTTTTTAAAAAGTGAGTAATATTCACAAATATGAACAGAAATGTATAGATCTATTATAGTTAGCTGCAAATTAATGTTATCTTCTGTCTGCATGTAGTAATCTGAACTAATATATTTACATCTACATTTTCCTTTCTTTTGCCCTTAATAATTTAAGAAGAAACTTATTTCCTCACATATTCTTTTCCTTTAAAATTATAGGAATTACGGGTGAGCTCAGTGCAAGCATGTGTTTAGCATATACAAGGCCCTGGGTTCTATACCCAGCACCAAAAAAGAAAAACTTGTAAGCCATTGTTGTAGCAAAGCCCGTTCTTAGATGGAATCAGCTTTACCTTTACCAGAGCAACTAGAATAAGAACTCCTTGTTACTTACCTTAGAGAAGGCTAACAGGTTATCTCTGCCCAGACTTTCTGCCTCTCTTCTCTCTCCCAGTTGATGAGTACAAAGGCTAGGTTTTAAGAGTACAGAGAAATTGTCCTCCAGTGTTCCTCCCAAACAGTTTGTTATTATCTGTGAGATGAAAACTGAGAACAGACCAACTTTGCTACATTCTCTAATATTAAAGTTATTAATAACCTGAATTAATATTTTGAAAGGCCGTCTCAAATGATATATTAGAGAAAATTTGCTTCAAGATTCCTAGAGACTTGTTTAGTGCAGTCTTTTACTCCAGGTATCAACCAATTTAAGGAGGGGAAACTTTTTCATGCTCAAATTAAATAAACTTTGCTTCTAAACATCATAGAATTTATTATTCGGTGGAGGGGAAAAGTCACAAAAAATATATTTGGTTTGCCTCAAGAAATGTTGGAAAACTTGCTTTTTGTATATATCATAGAACACATCTGTCCCCCAACTAAATGTGTGAAGACTAAAATTAGAGCCACATTTCTTGACCTTAACAACTAATCTAATTCCCCTAAATCTGTTGGTGTTTTAGTTTTTTAGTTTTAGTTTTTTGGGGTTTTTTTGTAGATAAAATTTCATTTATCACAGAGTAATTTAAGATGTAGGTCTGACAAAGAAGCTTAAAGAAAAGATGGAATTTAGTGTTACTCCCTTTCCCATGTCAAGGAAAAAAATTAATAGGGAAAATAAACCATTCTTGAAATGAACAGACTCAAATGACATAGAGAGACAACCTGAATAAGATGTGTGGGTGAGAGATAGGCGTGGTGAGGGCCCAGCACCCACCTGGCTAGACGGATCCAGATTCAAAGGTGCTGCTGGAGCACTACCCCAGATGAGAGATCATAACTTGGGGTTACATTGAGCCACAGGCTACCAGTTTCCCCCTCATATTTTAGCTAATACTTTGAGAAAAATATTGGACAAATAGTGAAGTAGAGATGCTAATGAAGCATCAGAACTTAATGACATTCGGATAAAATAGAAAAACAAGAATCAGAACTAAAACGGAGGCAGACCCAGGGTTGGGTAAGAAAGATTAGCATCTACAACACAGAGTCTGTCTGTCAGATTAAAGAGTGGGTATAGCGTTTTCCATTGTTTTAGGATTAGATCTTCAATATAAGGTTACTAATAGTATTAGCTGGAGGCAGCTAATAAGTAAATGTTAAGTTTTTTGTTCAATAATTATGTGATAGTAGAATGTAAAGGAGATAGTTTGATAAAGTAAAATGCAAGACAGTTCTATCATTTGTTCTAAACTGTATGAAATTATAGTGCTTCATATATATCTAGGTTCTAAGCTTTGAACTGTGTTATAAACTGAATAATCTGTTTTATCCAAAGCAACAATCAAGAGGAAATAAAATGATAGTTCTAGTTTATATTTTGCAGAACTTAGTGTTATATTACATCGGAAGCAATAAAACTATTACTTTGAAATATTAAATATTGCATGGATAAATTTAAATTTTAACATAGTAATGATAATCCTATAATGACTTTTATTCAGTCTTTAATAGCCTGATAATTTGCATGATTCTATGTTCAATGTGCTTCAGACCAAGAGGATGTCATTAGAAAGATATCTCCCTTTAAACCAGTGTAATTTTTGTTTAAGATTACACAATGATGTTAAATTTTTTCATTCCATGAAACTTACCAACAACCCTTTTGTTTAACCCTCTACCTGAATTAAAATGCTAAAATTTGTGTTTTTCCACTCCAGTGCACAATGTTTCCTCTTTAATTCTGACCTTTGACCCTCTTTCACCCAACGATTGACATCTGGTCATTATTTCTTTTACTGCTTTCCACCCCCTGTTGTCAGATGGACTGTTCTGTTGTCTAAAACACTTGATAGGTGGACAGGTTTATATAATCCGAGGTGAGTTCCTGTAGAGGCTAATTGGATGTTGTCTTTTCATGCAAAAACAAAATACCCTAAAACTTGCCAGCAGTGAAACTGTCCACCATGTTGGTTTCTAAAATTATGCACATTAATTATCTGTGGTACTTTAAATAAAACTAACTTAGAATTTATCTCTGATTATGGATGATGGTATTCAGAGTATTTACAAAATATGCAAAACTTTTTTAAAGTTTTTATTTTTTCCACTTGTTTGTATTTTGATTTATGCAACAGAAATAGATATTTGGTGAGAAATATTGCAATTGTCTTTGAAATTAGTTGAATTTTGATGTAAAGTACACATGATGGATCAACATGCTGAAGATCATTTGCATGAGTTGAGAGAACTTGAAAACACAATCTTAATGAGAGGATTTATCTCCCATAAAATCAGGCAATGAAATGTTTTATTTTACTTTGTATAACAAACATCACATCAACTTTTTTATAATTCATAAAAATAGTTAAGGTATAATACTTAAAATTTTACATTAAATTGTACCTAAAAGAAACCTTATAACAGTTATTTTAATTGTGAAAAGAAAAGCACATTAAATGTACTCTTGCATGAAACCAGAAAAAAGTTTGACTTGGTTTGCTGAACATTGAATTCTTAATGCATTTGGCTTCATTTTGGCCCTTGAATGTTTGAAATATATATTTAAAAACCACATCCATGCAGAGATTTTTTTGACATTTCATCTTAAGCTGTTTTAATGTCATCTTTGCATTCTTGTCTTCCTTTTTCCCTCTTCACCATTTGCCTTCATTTCTATTTGTTTGTTTCTTCTTATTCTCTGAAAACACAGTGGAATGCTTTACAGTGTTGTGGCTAATTGAGCTTGCTAAGTGTTTATTAATGCTATGATGTCCTGCTTAGTGAAGCTAAACGGGGATGGTAATGGGCAGGGGTGGTAGTTGGGAGGTCAAGGTTGGGATGGGAAGGGGTGAAGAAAGGATTATGAGGTATACCTTTAAATTCTATTATGGAGAAACAGTGAGGTGAAGATATTACTACTCCCAGAATATTTTCAGCCTACCTAGCATTCTCTGTACCCATCACATTTTTATAAGCATACATGAAAATGGAATTGCTTAAATTTCCATTAAACATGGTATACACCATATCCTTATAAGGTGCAAATACTTAATCTCAGCTTTTCCCATTTTTGAATCCATTTCAAATGATATTTGTGGTATGTTGGTTTTTTTTCTTCAGATACATATGTTAAGTTAACACTGCTGAATTCCATGGGCCAAGAGATGTCCAAATGCAAGACATCCATCCGCAGAGGGCAGCCAAATCCCGTGTACAAGGAAACTTTCGTTTTTCAAGTGGCTCTATTTCAACTTTCTGATGTGACACTGATACTGTCTGTGTATAACAAACGCAGCATGAAAAGAAAGGAGATGATAGGCTGGATTTCTTTAGGTCTGAACAGCTCTGGAGAAGAGGAACTCAATCACTGGACTGAAATGAAAGAGTCAAAAGGACAGCAAGTATGTCGATGGCATGCATTACTAGAGTCGTGATGGATAGGATAAACAGGAAATTGATCCAAGGCAGCATTATTTCTGATTACAACCCTGCTGTTTTGACCTGGTCACCATGAGAAGAGCTGTGCTTTGGAGAATCATACTCAACAATCTACCAAAATGCTTTAAAGTCTATGAGAAAGAACATCTAATGCCGACATAAATGAAGAAAAGATCTGTCTCTGGTAGCCTTTGTTTGAGAAGCTTATGTCACTCTTGTTAAATTAACAACCCTCTGGAAAATGAATAACAGGCCTTTGAGTTGAAGTTAATTTTACTTTAGCAAAAGAGCCAGTCATTTTGTGGAAGATTATCGATGATTTGAAAAATCAGAATTTTAGTTGCAACATTACTTTAAATACCTACATATACTTTGACTTGCCAGTCCCTGGTATTTATAAATTTCTTTAATGCTCGCCAACACTATCGTGAGTCGTATATAACGGCGAAGGGTTTCAATCACATTGAAGATAGGTCATTTCAGAAAGTGATGTGCTATTTCCGTGCCCTTCATTTCTTTGTGCCTCGGTTCTTTTCCATAGCATTAAATCTAATTGTAAGCAGTTTACCATCTTCATAAAGGAATTTTTAAGAGGTGTTATTTTTTAAGAAGTTTACTTCTTCTTTTTCCTCTGCTTTTGCCTGACCCAAAGAGACCAAGTCATCGACTGGTCCCTTGCGCCTTTTAGACAGGTTGTACTGTAGAACTACGTAACTTTCTGTTGAAAGCACTTCCTGTATTCTTGTATTCCAATGTAGGAAGCCCATAGAGCAGAACTTTATTTTAGAATTTCTTTCAGTGATTAACTCTACCACTAGTAATGTGAGAATTCATTATTTTCTTGCAAATCGGAAAATACAGTAGATATAAGGTGTGGAAGACTAAAAACAATTCAAGTTTAACCAAATTTGAATGATCTGCTCTAAGTATTTAGTAACCAACACTGCATAAGTCAGGTAGAGTCAAAATAAGAAACTCTTCTATCTCTAAATTTTCACTCTAACTTCAATATCTGTGGTGGGATAAAGACTGTCCAGCTCTCAGTTAGAATCAGAACATCAAGTTCAAAACAGTTCTGAGATTCCTTAAGAAGTTTCTAGTGACTTGTGACTAGGCTATATGAAATTTCCAGATACCTTTCTTCAACGTGATGTCATCCTGTGCCTTTCATGTAAGTTCAATTTGCTCATACAGCTTGCAAGTTGTATTTGCAAAATTAGGCCTTCGATTTTTATTAAATGTAAAGATTCCTCAGAACAGTGTCACACGATCTTTATTTCCTCTGAAATATGTAAAAGTTGTATTATGTGCTAATTTTTAATGGCAAGGCACTTTGATTTGTTGTTTTTATATTTAGAAACTGATTAGTCAGAAATATTATAAGCTATTTTCTTTTTAATTTTGCTTCTTACCTAATATATAAGTTTATGCATATACCTTATTAAATAGAGTATGTTTCATATATATGAATTTTTTCTCTTTCTCATTTCTAGTTAAACTAGATAAAACATACAATTTAACAATTACTAAAAAGCAGTATCATTGTTCCTAGTCCCAACTAAGTACTATATGTTATTTTAAGCTAGAATTTGTTATTACTATAATAACGAAACCATACATAGATATTATTTCTTTACCTTGGCTGTACTGAAAGGCCTTAAAAGAAACCCCCCAAAGACCATGAGATCCTATTTTTTTTTTTAGTTTTAAAAAGGCAGCTCTATGTATTCACACACATGAATTACAAGAAAAAAGTAAATTTGGACAACCTAAGGCATGAAATGTGAGGATTGCATTAAGGAGAAAATTCATCCCTTTTTTTTGGTACATCAATAACTTTTTCCACATTTTTAAAAATATGTTAGGTTATAGAGTTACAACATGAGTCAAATGGCAAATACTTCACTTAGTTATTTGTCAAGTACAGTATGGAAAAAAATGAAGTAGGAAGCAAATTCTGCTGAAAACTTGAATTGAGTCATTTGATACTATGGTTATCTTTCTTGTCTTTGAAATAACTGCCTGCATTACTAACAACTGGTATCTACCTTCCTAATTTTAAAAAAAGTTACCAATCTGATTTGTAGGTGTAACAAAGTTTAATCAGAAACACTAATGAGACCAGCTTAGTGCTTTCACCATTAGTGTAAAAAAGACCTAATTAATAGTTATTTGTTAAATAACAGTTTGACAAATAGCCTTTCTTCAGACTATGCTCAGAATTGTGTGCAGGCTATGATAGCGCTAGAGCTTCACCTGGTAGAAGTAAGTATCACATCTTATAATAGGGCAAAATAATTAGCTTATCTTTTACATTGCAGGAGTTGACCCTCCATTTACTCCAGCTTCCAAGTCTTCAAAGATAAATTGTATTTATAGGTACATCTATACAGACCTACACACACATAACATGACGTGTGTGTGTGTATAAGTATCTGTAATGGTGGAGGTGCCTGGCTTTTTTGATAATTGAATAGACATTCACATCTCACATTTATGGTCTATCTTTCTCTATGTAATTACTAGATGTTGCATTTGGTTTGGGGTGCTGTTTGCTGCCATTCTCTGTAGACAGCAAAACATGTATCTTTTTATCCTGTGGTTTGACACAGCTTCATTACTCCCTCAAAATTGTCTATTTTTTCAGAAAGGGATTTAAATAGAGTTCAAGAACCTACTTCATGCTACTGAATCTGATGTATGAGAACCTACTTCATGCTACTGAATCTGATGTATGAGACAGTAGTACATTTTGTGTTTGAATTCACAAGACAGCTTAAAGGCAAATCTTATATCACCGTAATTGCAGCAAAAAGAGGCCCACTGGTAGACAGCAGGTGTTGACTCAGAAGCTTGAGACAGACTGCCCACTTCTGATTGTTCTGCTAAAATCCCCTAAGTTTTATAATCTAATGAAATCGTCCGATATAGTAATTGACTGGCATCTGTGGGAACCACAGAGCCTGGAATTACAGTCTCCCAAATGAGCTGCAAAACATAGTTGTTTATTACTACCCAGGAAATAGAGTGTATGTTGCCTCAGTAAAGAATTTGCTTAGTATGATACCATCTTACCTTTCAGAAGCTTTCTTCTAGACTCTTGAGGCCTCACTACTAGCCACATTTTATTAGAAAACAACTTGCATATTAAAAGTAAAAAGGCCTCAATTTGTTTTTTTTTAATGGAAAATCAATGCAAACAATTACCTAAACTACCCTGGCTAATATACTTGAGTTTTGATGTTGGGCCTAGTGGGATTGTTTCACCCAAGCTACATGTTAGATTATTCGCTTATTACTGTCATCATTTTTGTTTTACTTACCAAGTGAAGGACATAATCATGACTACAAGGTAAGATTGCATCTACAGGAAAGGCAGAGTAGAACTGAGATGTTCTTCAAGATGAAGGTGAATGGGAAAACAAACATTAAGAGTTTGTCAAGTGCATTAAAAAACTAGGTCGGCCACTGAAGTGCAAATCTTAGATGGCATAAGAGCAGTAATCACCAATAAAGTTTCTTAAGGTCCTTGTTCACACATGAATAGAAACAATACAAATTCATTTGCATGAAATGTTCATTTTATACACTCTATCCACTAGACAATTCATAGAGAAATTCTCATCAATAGTTGTACTGACAAGTTTTCATTTCTTTTCTTTCCATTCACTGTCCCTGTTTATCTGTGTTGATAAGAAAGACCTGTGCCTTCATTGTACTTATTGTGCTCTCCTTGAAGTTTTTATTATGTTTCTTCTACTAAAGGTTTATTAACACTTGACAGGAATTGCATACAGTTTTATTACACATGTCTCTTTCCCCTAAGGTAATAGGGAAATGCCTCATCCTTTTATCTTTATGTACTCCTTGGCTTGAAGTAGACACATAATAAATACTGAAGTGATCTAAACTCTCTATGGAAGAAATCAGTAATACTGTTAGGGTAAGTCTGATTTTGTATGAATCTTGCATTATGTGTGGGTTTATTTTTCATTCATTTGATATATAGTTATAAGAGAATCAACAATAATATGTCCTGTGTTATTCTAAGCACTGCAGATGTGGAGATAATAAATTGGAGAGGCAAACTCAACTCTTTGTCCTCATGGGGCTTGTGCTCCAAGGTAGGAAAACAGACACAGAATGGTGTTACTTCTCACTAAAGTACTGATGTGTTAAGATAGAGGCATGCACAGAGAACTGTGGCATTTTGTGGAGAAGTACAACGTGGTGTTCATGAAAATTTCCTGCAGAAAATGATCCCTGGGTTGGAAATTAAGAAACAAATGTTGCCAAGACTCCTATCAAAACTCCATGAACTTCAGGACAAAATAGGAAATAATGGTTCTCAAGCTATAATGTACTGAAGCATTATCTTTAGAACTTAGTTTGTGCTCCAGAACTCTCTTTCCAGACATCCTGTTTTTTGGGGAGTCTGGAGGGAAGCACAGGAATCTAGATCTGAACAAACTCCCCCCTCGACCTGGAGATCATGTCTGAGTTATACTGATAAAGAATATTGACATTCTCATTACAAAGAATTATCAGTAGCAGTATTTAATGCCCATAGGTGAAATATTTAAGTATGATAGTGATAAATGAGAGAGATTATACATTACTACATTTGTAGTAATGATCTTTTCCTTGCAATTCTTTCTTTAAAAAAAAGACATTTAGTGAAAAATTAAAAGTAATATTTATGAGTTTCTGAACATAACTTTTCAAAGTGGTCCTTGATGTAATAGTTAAATTCTAGTATGTTGTTTGGGTGATTCCTGAAAATTCATTTCTTCTTCTACTAGTTTCCTCTAGGTTCTCTTTACCATGATAGATATAAGGCAGAGAGAGTCTGGGGAGGTATTTATCTGCTGTTCTCTGCCAGTATAAGACCCACCTTTCCACAAATGAGTAGTAACAGTTGTGTGTAGTGGCATTTTTATGCTCCTTCTTATAGTGAGCTTGCTTGCTTCTTGCTTTCTCCTAATTGACTTCATGGTTATCATACTATCAGATGAACTTCAGTCCTGGATTCTGTGCTAGGAAAAGCAGTATTTCTGTCACTCCTATTCTGATCTTTATTTCCCAGATTGCTCTGTTCTTTGTTCTTCCTTAGGGTCCTTTATTTTAATTATAGGTTAATAACGAAGCCTCAGGACCTCTGCTTCCTCTAAAAAGAAGTGTCATGGATAAAGTTCATCAAAGTTTCTGTTTCCCTTCATTGTAGATGTAGCCATACTTTGGTCTCTGACACAATATTTTGCATGAATATATTTTACACTTTGATAGTTTTCTTTGCCCTGTGAAGATCTGTGATCAGCTTATTATAAAATGGAGTCTATTTAGATATTTGAAATAATTCTGTGTGGAATTGGGTTGATTTGTAACTGCTGATGTTTCACTGTGCTTGATCTGGTCATAGTTTGAAGTCTGATTATTAAATCTTAAAATGATAGATGGAATAATTAGTTCATTATGAAAAATAGATGTCAAAATATCATGCTTTCCTCTCCTTCTTTAGTATGCCTCTCTTCTTACATGTTGGTTTTTTATTCTTCCCAAACTTTTCTCTCCTTATTCTGTACATTCTACATGTTGGTTTTTTATTCTTCCCAAACTTTTCTCTCCTTATTCTGTACATTCACACTAGGGACCAGAGTTCGTTTATCAGAGCTGAATGATATCTATGAAAATGGTACCTTCACTTTTTTTTCTGATTACATGGGCTGGAAAGTAGGGAGGATCAGACGAGCACTCTCAGAGACTATAGAAAGAGCAAAGCAGAATGCCCTTCACTGTAAAGGTTTGTTACTAGTATGATAGTTGTGGAAGGAAACTATCAATCTAACAAAAATTCAGCCTAATTTTATTGCATAATTTCAATATTTTAGTACATAAAACTTCTCTAGCGGAGTAAGAAAACAAAGTCATTGCCATGATAAGATGCTTGACATCATTTCGTCCTCAGCTTAACAGTTTATCTCTTACATTGGCCTATCATTTCAAAACCTCTTTTGTGTTCTTCTTATTTAACCAGTAAACCTGCTTTCATGGGCTAATATTTAAGTTTGTCTTTTAAGTGTTTAAGACCGTTTTAAAAAGACGAATCTTGCAAGTGACTCAACACTGTAATCCTAGCTCCTTGGGAGCTGGAGATTGGGGGGCTAGAGTTTAAACCATCTCAGGCATATAACCAGTGGCTGGGTGTGGTTATATATGTATCCCATTTTAACAAGGGGAGAGCAATGACTTGGTACA